AAAAAGCGAAGGGAAAACATTATTTGTTAGTGAAAATAGCAATAAATGGGAAATAAACCATTGAAGGAAATAGGAAATGTTGAAGGTTTCATCAGGCGAGAAAATGAAATGTTGGTAAAGATGAGGACCAGAATTGGGAATGATGATAAGGATAAAGATTGTTGAATAGATAAATAGATGTTGGGAGGTTTAAATAGGGATGTTAAGGGAGTTAAGATGAAGATGGAGAGATGGTATATAAATCGCACTTGAAAATGGTTAAAACAGACAAGTAAAGTGTTGCTTTATGTGTGTGGCCATTTTACGGTTTGATGATCAAGAAGATGATAATGAAGCTGATGATTATGAATAAGATTTTGTACATTGATAAACGTGGAAATCATCTTTTAATCTGAATGGAGTGATCAAGTTTACAATTTAAAAGCATAACCAAGTTCACTAGCTGTGAAAAATATATTTTACCGTAAAATGGCTTGTCTGTTAGTGAGATTTGATGGGACGAGAGTGACTTGCTTAGGTTGACAAATTTTGTAAAACACTGACTCTGACTGTTTCTTTGCTGATAATGTTGATGAGGAAATTATTCAAATGAAGGTTTTTTTAACATGAAAAGTCTTGTTTGATGTGATCGAGAATCATTTTGTTGGGTTTAAGGATTTAATTTGATGGGCCAAATGTTCACTGACTATTTCATGGTTTGGTGGGAAGATTTCAAGTAGACTCATCTTGGCCCACTTGTCTTGTTTTATTTTGTTGAACATGAAAAATGGTTGTGAGGTAAATGAGAAAAATTGTTTCAATGGATTTCGCTATTTACAATATTGATGAAGTATATAATCATCATGTTGGCTGTAATCAAATACTGATGGCTACTTTTCCATTGATGGGTGAAAGAGTGGTGATGAGTATAAAGTGATCAACATGAGGGACCAACATTGTCATGATTAATACTCTGTTTCTTTCAAGCAATTACAATTTGGTCAGCAATTTATCTTCTTTTCTTTACCCTTGAAACATCTTCCATCAGTTGGACACATTTCTGTATCTTTATTTATTCATCTTTTAATTTGTTCAATTAATGTCCATTGACTGTCCAAATGTTTACTTTAAATTGCTGTCTTTGACTGACATTGAAAATTAAACTGCTCGTTGAATAGTGAAAATAAGCTATTTTACGGTGACCAATAGATTTATTTTTTGTCTGCTTTCACTATCAACAGATTCAGATAAATTATTGTTTTTGATCAACTCAAAAATGTCAACTCTAATTGTATTGTCATTTCAAGTTAACTTTTTTTATCCTCAACAGTTATTTTGACTCATTTTTTTCTTCATTTTACGTCAATCAATTAAATATTACCTTTTGCATTTTAGTTTATGTGATGGGAATATAAAATATTAACCAGTAAATTGAATGTGATTGTTGTTTCATTTTTTTCTGGTAAAATTGCTTTGAAATATTAAATGTAATTTACTTTTGAATTTTTTTCCATCATTCTGTGAATTATGTGATTATTTAAAGTGGAAATTATTGGCTTATTGGATTAATTTATGAATTTTTTTTTTGTTGCTCATTTCTTATTATTTAACCTGAAAAGTATTTCATTTTATATTATTAAATAAATTCAAAAATGCAATCTGAAAACTGAAAGGAAAAGGCTGTGGAAATAAGTTGCTATGGTTATTTGTCGAGTCTTTTCTGTGTAATTAGATCTCAAATCTACCGCTGAATCTGTTTATTTTGGTCAAATCTGGTTTCAACTTTTTGTTTTAATTTATCTTGTTCAATTGCCTTTATTTCATAATGACATCAACTATAACTGCCCCCATAGACGATAAAAATGATGATAAACCAGTGGATCGAGAAAAGGTAATGTAAAAATTGTCATTTAGCCTTTAGACCAACCGATAAATTGGATTGTTTATTTTTAAACCTCGGTCCTCTTACATTGTGGCTCTTTTTTATTATCTCTTAGTTTAATTGTGGGTCTTTAGGTTGTGTCTAATCTCTTCACTGCTTACCTTAATTTGTATATTAACTGGTGTATTTTTGCTAATTTTGCTATTTTTCTTGTTTTCAAAAATGCAGACTTGTCCTCTCTTACTTCGAGTGTTCCTCAGCAATGGTCGTCATCATTCACCAATAGAGTATAATCGAGGAAATGTACCTTCGAATGAACTACAAATCTATACATGGATGGATGCTAGTTTAAAAGAATTGACCAATTTGGTTAAAGAAGTCAATCCTGATGCAAGACGCAAAGGAACTTATTTTGATTTTGCTTTAGTTTTTCCTGATCTCCGTACTCCTGGTTATCGTATGAGAGATATTGGTTCAACATGTTCGGGTCAAAAGGGTGTAGATGATACAAAGACATTAGCTCAATCAAGATTTCAAATTGGTGACTAT